CACCCACCCCCCCTCCCCCCGCCCCAGTCGGAGCTGCTCAGGTTTCCCCACAAGGAGGGGCCAAGGGACCTGTTGGGAACGTTGCTGGTTGCTCACCGGTCTTCCATTTCCTCCGCAGGAAAACGGGGAGTTTGCCAGGCGTGGCGCAGGCCCAGGTGGCACAGCCCCCCGACCTCCCATCGCTGGGCAGGAGCCCTCCCTGCGGCCCATGGCGGAGCCCAGCCTCTAGCAGGCCCGTGGGGCAGAGGAGAATCCGATGGAGGCTGGACAGTTCTTCCCGCTGCCGGTCCCTGGACGGTCCGGCCCTGCACAGGCCGGGTCAGGCAGGAGCCTCCGCCTGGCGGTCAAGGTCTGGCTGAATCACAAAACTAATGAGACTCGGGCTCTATGGCCTCACCAGGAGAGTGAGCGGAAGGAAGGTGCCGGCCCGCTGCCGGCTCGGCGGCCTCTCGGGTTAATCATTCCCGTGGGATCGGGGTGTAAGCATTTGAAGCGGCAAAGGCCACCTTCCTCAGAGCACAGGGCTGGCGAGCCTGGCCCACCGAGGCCTGAAGGTCAGTTCCCTGCGGAGGATGAAGCGGTGACCGATGGATGAACCAGCAGCTGAGACTGGGACGCTGCGCTGTTGGGTAGTGACCTGCCCCTTGGTGATGTAATGAGCACTAACGTGGGTGAGGGCACCGCCGCGCTGCGGAGGCCGGAGCCTGGGGGGTGTGGGTGCGAGGGGTGGGGCAGAGGAGGGGCTGGGGCACTTCCAGGTGAGGTGAGGCCCGGGGCAAGCCGTGTCTCCCTCGCCCTGGGACAGTCCTAACTGGTCCATTGCTTCCTCCATCCACTCCCACGGGCGCCATGCAAACACCCCGACCATCAATTAACATTGTCCAGGACTCAGGACCAAGGCAGCCAGGAAAACAAACTCCAAATTCCCTCCATGCTGCCCCGGGGCAGGAAATGGGGTTAGAAGCGGGGACCCACTAGAACCCCTGACACAACAAACAAAACAAGCCGCAGACCCCTCCCTCCCCTCTTAAAAGCTGCTTGATGAAGAAGTCTACAGTCAACCAGCTTCTCACTTCCGGTGCCAGGGGTCTCCGTGAAAGGCAAATGCCTTCAAGACTTACACCTGGCCCTGGGTGGTGAGCTCAATGGTTAGTGCTGGCCTGTGTACTGAAGGGTCAAGGTTGGATTCCTGGTCAAGGGTTGTGGGCTTGCTCCCCCAACCTGGGATGGGTGCATAGGGGAAGCAATCAATCAATGTGTCTCACATTTTTCTTTCTCTCTCCCTCCCTCCCTTCCTCTCTCCAAAAAAGCCAATGGAGCCCAGCTGGTGTGGCTCAGTGGGTGAGCACTGACCTATGAACCAGGAAGTCAGTTTGATTCCCGGTCAGGGCACATTCTCGGGTTGCGGGCTTGGTCCCTAGTGGGGGGTGTGCAGGAGGCAGCCAATCAATGATTCTCTTTTATCATTGATGTTTCTATTTCTCTCCCTTCCTTTCTGAAATCAATAAAAATATATTTAAAAATAAAAAATAAAATCAATGGAAAAAGTATTCTCGGGTGAGAATTAACAAAAGACTTGCATCTGGAGAAGGAAGGACCAGGGCGTAAGGCTGGCCAGGCCCACGGGCTGGTCGCTGGCTACAATGCTGTGGGCAATGTGAGTGAGCCACAGGCTTCCTAGGATGGTCTGCCTTTCATTCCTGCTCCGGCTCCCAAGTTCCTTAAAGTCTGAGTGTCTGCCCGGCCCTGTGTGTCCCTACGTCCTGTTGTTGACGTGCAACCTGCAGAAGGCGGGGTTTTCTGGAATGTCCATGTGACATCAAAGCTGAGGTTTGCGCACTGCGTCTCGTCTGCTCATTGTCATGCGCAGGCCCCGCGGTGCATGGGGTCGGAGGTCTGCAGCCGGTGCACTCTGTAGGCAGGAGCCTGGACACGTGGTTCTTAGGTGAAGGGCTTGCTAGGATCTTGTCTGAAATGCTTTCTAACATGATGTTGCAGCTAAAAATGCGATTCTAAAGACTATGCCAAAACACCCCCCAAAATATTTATGCTATAGAGACAGGAGAGGGACCCAAAATAGACGCAGCAGAAATATAACCAGGCAAAAACATAAGCAGGTGGGACGGAACCCGTCAGAACTGTACTTGGCAAGTGGAGGCTTGGAGAATAAACCACCTTACTCCCCGCATTAGTTTTCAATTAAGCAAATGCTGTGTTTGTTTGTTTTGCTTGGAAGGAATCATCATTTGGTGAAAGTTTGTTGGGAAACACTGTATCCACAGACTGACAGCTCAGTAAATGTGGCCCAGCGGCTGGCAGCGGGTGTAGGAGGCTGGACACAAAGTAGCGATCGTGCCCGGGCTGGTGTGGTTCAGGGGTTGAGCATCGACCCATGAACCAGGTCGTCAAGTTTTGATTCCCAGTCAGGGCACGTGCCTGGGTTGCAGGCTCCATCCCTAGTGTGGGGTGTGCAGGAGGCAGCCGATCAATGATTCTCTCTCATCATTGATGTTTCTCTCTCTCTCCCTCTCCCTTCCTCTCTGACATCAATAAAAGTATATTTTTTAAAAAGTAGCGATGCAGTGTTGGCTGAGCCTTCCCTGACTTTCTGAACAACCAAAAGGAAGCGGAGCCGTTCCTCTCCAATGCTGGGTAGAACCACCGCGGGTCTCTGTGGGATCGGGGTCCTGACGAGGGGCCGTGTGGAAGCGTCACTACAGCGTGAAGGTGCCCAGGGCCCCCAGCCCAGGCAGCCCCTGGATGTGCCTCCCTCCTGGGGACCGAGGAACAAGGTCCCGGGGCCCGGCGGGACCGCCCTGCTCTGTGGAGTAACAATCCCCACGGCGGCCCACACACCAGTCGTGGCGTAGCTGAGACAGGTAAGTTTACCAGCAAACAAACCCGTCCCAACCCCAGTCACTTCTTTAAAAGAAAACACGAGGGAACAGAGAGGAGCCGTGAGCGTGAAGGCGGACTTGGCAGACAGTTTATTCCACGTGGCGCGCGTTCAGGCATCTACCCCACCGCCGGCGGGCCTGCTTCCCTTACACACTTGGGGCCCAGAACGCAGCCCCCGCTCTCGCGCCGCCGCTCCTGCGTCTGGGTTCAGCAGGCTTCTTGGTTTGGCACACACCCACACCCACACCCACACCCACACCCTCAGAAGGCTTTGGGGAGGGGGGCTGGGGCTGTGACTGCCCCCCTGAACCAAAGGCACTTAACGTTAAAGATAAAGCTCAGTAGAGTCACCCGCGGACGTCCTGTGTGTCCAGAAAGCTGACCCTAAACCCACGGGCACAGCCCACGGGAGTCATCGTAACAGCGTGAACCACACTCTTGTCCTTGACAAACAAAGTGCAAGTGACGGTCGGACTCGGGGCCACGCCCACCCTCCCCGAGAAGAACCCAGAGACTGATGTCACATGATTAGAATCACGAAAGGTCACACGTGGGGAACAGCTCAGAAATGACCCGCCACAGACGCCCCTGTGCAATCACTACTCTGACATGTAGAACCGGGAGCCGCAGAGGCCCCCGCTCCCCATCCCTGGCCGACGGTCACCGTGGACCTGGGGTCTAACCCCAGACAGCGCCTGGGGAGAGCACAGCCCCCGAAGCCTCGCTCCGGGCTCCCTCCACCCCCTCCTCTTTAAAAGTCCCCCAAAGGGAAGCATGGCAATGGTCCCGATCTCAGCACGCCGGTCACGTGCTGGTGCAGGTCAGTGATTTGGTCTCACAGGCGGTTCCTTTGGCAGATGGCGGGTCCGCCCCGCCCCGGGTGTCTGTACACGGGTGGCCCGTCCTGCCCAGGGAGGCCGAGCGTGGGTTGGACACGCCTTCTCCTGGGCTGGGGCGGCTCTGCTTGGGCTCAGCTGGTGATGGGCAGGTGGTCGGCGGCGCAGCGGAATCCTAGGTTGGAGGCGGAGCTGTCGGGGGTGTTCTGGCTTCGGGCCGCACAGCGGTACCTGTAGCAATAGGACTGCAGGAGGAGAGAGATGAGCACAGGCACCTGTAGCTGTAGGACTGCAGGAGGAGAGAGGGGAGCACAGGCACCTGTAGCAATAGGACTGCAGGAGGAGAGAGATGAGCACAGGCACCTGTAGCTGTAGGACTGCAGGAGGAGAGAGGGGAGCACAGGCACCTGTAGCTGTAGGACTGCAGGAGGAGAGAGAGGAGCACAGGCACCTGTAGGTGTAGGACTGCAGGAGGAGAGAGAGGAGCACAGGCACCTGTAGGTGTAGGACTGCAGGAGGAGAGAGAGGAGCACAGGCACCTGTAGGTGTAGGACTGCAGGAGGAGAGAGAGGAGCACAGGCACCTGTAGGTGTAGGACTGCAGGAGGAGAGAGAGGAGCACAGGCACCTGTAGGTGTAGGACTGCAGGAGGAGAGAGAGGAGCACAGGCACCTGTAGGTGTAGGACTGCAGGAGGAGAGAGAGGAGCACAGGCACCTGTAGGTGTAGGACTGCAGGAGGAGAGAGGGGAGCACAGGCACCTGTAGCTGTAGGACGGCAGGAGAGTTTGAGCAACAAGATGTCGGCGTGAGCGCCACTCAAAACAGTAAAATATCAATTGATGAGCAATGGTCACCATCTCAGACTGGCGGGCAGCCACTACACACCGTGTCTTTATGTGACATTTAACGACCCAGGGCAGTATTGTGACCGAGTGTTAAACGAGAACATCAGGACACAGCACTGTGTGGTGGGATCTCACCCGAGGAAAGATGAAGGCGGAGAAAAGGCCTGGGGGGTCCCACGCCCACAGTGTGACCTCGGTCCCCTCGGGTGGGAGCCTGTTTCCCACGCTGAGCCGTGTGGACGAGCTCAGAGTCAGCAGGCTTTGCTGGAAACAGTGGCAGAGGGTAGTCAAGGGTCTGGGCATGTGCGAATGGGACTAGAGGTGGGAAAACCCCAACGTGCTCTGAAGACAGGAACGTGCGAAATCTGGCCGTAAAGCACGTCTCAGGCCCGGGACTGGTCAGGCGGGGCCAGTCACAGCCTGCGGGCAGGACAGAGGGTGTGGGAGCTCCAGGTATGGGATGTGGGTAGGATGGATGTCGGGCAGGACGGCGGATGCAGGAGCTCTGGGCACCAGATGTGGGTAGGATGGATGTCGGGCAGGACAGCGGGTACGGGAGCTCTGGGTATCGGATGTGGGTAGGACGGATGTCGGGCAGGACAGCGGGTGTGGTAGCTCCAGGTATCGGATGTGGGTAGGATGGATGTCGGGCAGGACGGCGGGTGCGGGAGCTCCGGGTATCGGATGTGGGTAGGATGGATGTCGGGCAGGACGGCGGGTGCGGGAGCTCCAGGTATCGGATGTGGGTAGGATGGATGTCGGGCAGGACAGAGGGTGCGGGAGCTCCGGGTATCAGATGTGGGTAGGATGGATGTCGGGCAGGACGGCGGGTGCGGGAGCTCTGGGCACCGGATGTGGGTAGGATGGGACGTCCAGCACAGAGAGGCTGAGACCTGAGACAGTGGAGACGGCGACGTCCAGGGCAGGAGGTTTACCACCGCCGTGTTTGAAGCCCAGGACACAGAATAACTCCACGTGGGGAAGAAAAAATAAAAGTCACCAAAAAACTGGGTAGAATAGGGATCAGTCGTTTTCTTCAGGAAGTAGAATGGTGTTATTTGCACTTTTATGTTGATGATTTGCTTTCTAATTTTAATGCAATGAAAATGTCTTGTCTGTATAACAAACAAGCTTAAAATTAGGGACAAACATAAGGGCTGGTCCTTTCTTAGGTAACAGCAGCCCCAATAACTTCTCTGAAATCAATAAAAACATATTTTTAAAAAAGAAAAAGAAAACCTCCCATGAACTAAATGAATGTGCAGACGGAGCCCTGTCCAAGTCACTGCGATGAGCTGGGGGTCAGGGCCCTCGCAGGAGACACGGCGGTAAGCGCTCGCTCGCTCAGGAAACACTCACTCACACGCAGTGTGTTTTGCTCCGAGGAGGAGCAGGGAACTGAGGAGGAAATGGCCTGGTTTCGAATGTCCTCGCTGCTC